TGTCCCCTGGGGTCTGGAGAGGGACAGGTCTTACCCGGGCTCACCCAGTTAGCCCAAGAATAAGCAATGGCAGGAATCCAGAAACTCCTCCCACCACCTCAGGTGCTGAGGCGCTCCAGGTCTCATTCCGGGGCTTGTCAAGGTGTCAGGTGTCAGGCCTCGGTAGGGCTGTGATTCCTGAGGGAGCGACATTCTAAGCCTCCCTTCCCTGGCCCGCCCTGCACCACTTCTCCTGAGTCAGAACCAGTGGGAGCAGGAGCAGTGCCAAAGCAGGACAGACCCATGCGGGGAGGCCCAAGAGACCCCAGCCCCAGTTCCTGCAACCAAGACGGACTATATGAGAATCACAGAATCTGAGACTCACAGCTGAGAATCTCAAGACTTAGAATTATGGAATCTTTTATTTTTTCTTTTTCTTTTTTAGAGATGGGGTGTCACCATGTTGGCCAGGCTGGTCTCAAACTCCTGACCTCAGGTGATCCACCCATCTCTGCCTCCCAAAATGCTGGGATTACAGGCGTGAGCCACCGTGCCCAGCTAGAATCTTTTTTTTTTTTTGAGATGGAGTCTCACTCTGTCGCCCAGGCTGGAGTGCAGTGGCACGATCTCGGCTCACTGCAACCTCTGCCTCCTAGGTTCAAGCAATTCTTCTACTTCAGCCTCCTGAGTAGCTGGGATTACAGGTGCCCGCTACCATGCCCAACTGATTTTTTTGTATTTTTAGTAGAGACAGGGTTTCTTGAACTCCTGACCTCAGGTGAGCCACCCACCTGGGCCTCCCAGAGTGGGTGAGCCACCACGCACTGCTAAACTTGGCTAGTTTTAAAAAATTTTTGGCTGGGTGTGGTGGCTCATGCCTGTAATCCTAGCACTTTGGGAGGCCGAGGCAGGTGGATCACCTGAGGTCAGGAGTTTGAGAACAGCCTAGCCAACATGGTGAAACCCTATCTCTACTAAAAATAAAAAAAAAAAAAATTTTTTTAATTACCTGGGCAAGGTGGTGGGCGCCTGTTATCCCAGCTACTTGGGAGGCTGAGGCAGGAGAATCGTTTGAACCTGGGAGGTGGAGGTTGCAGTGAGCTGAGATTGTGCCATTGCACTCCAGCCTGGGCAACAAGAACAAAACTCCATCTTAAAAAAAAAGAAATTGTAGAGTTGGGGGTCTCACTACATTGCCCAGGCTGGTCTCCAACTCCTAGCCTCCAGCCATCCTCCTGCCTTGGCCTCCCAAAGTGCTGAGATTACAGGCATGAGCTACCAAAACTGGCCGGTTTGTAGTTATTGAGAGTGGAGTTGAAGTTCAAGGACAGATTCTGGCTCCCCATGGCGTGGGTTCAAATCCCACTGTCACTCCTAGTTCACAGAAGGGGAATTGATGTCCAGGGCCACCCAGCAGGTTATGCTGCAGTCACAACAGCTCAACTTCTCACCCTAACCCCTGCCGCTTCTCCAGGGAACCAAGGGGGTGGGGACAGTGCCCGACACTGCCACCACTCTCCCATTCCTGCACATTCTGCTCACATTGTCTGCCTCGGCCTTGGGCCCTTCCTAACTCACATCCTGGGTTCCTGCTGCCCGCTCCTATGATTGGAATCACAGTCACTGAAGGTGTGACCTGATTCTCCCCACTCTGCTGCTTCTCCTCTCTAGGCTCACAATTCCCTCCCCTAAGGCAGGAGATGGTCCCACCCACTCTGCAGGGGCCCTCACTCCAGACCTCCTCAGGAATTCCAAAGTGCATTCCAAATCCACCCGCCTCTCCCCGCCCGGCAGCCATCCCTCTCCCGCCACTTGGACACGACCCATTTTTCAGAACCTAGAAATCTCACGGGCTCCTCTCCTGCTCCAAATTCTCCTAGGGTTCCCCAGCACCCTCCGCTGTCCAAGCTCCCTCATTCTCTGCCTGTAAGTCTCGGCTCACCGGGGAAAGGTCCTCTCTCAGAGGCCTCTGAGCATGTCACCCTCCAGGCCGCCTCCATCTATCCAGACTGGAATTCAGTGGTGTGATCACTGCTCACTGCAGCCTCGACCTCCCAGGCTCCGGCGATCCTCCCACCTCAGCCTCCCAAAGTGCTGGGATTGCAGGTGTGAGCCATGGCGCCTGGTTGAAATGAGTATTTATCTGCCGGTGAGGTCAGGGCCATTACTGCCCTGGGGTGGGTTCACCTGGATCACGCTGTGTCCCCAGCACCTGGCCGAGGGCCCTGCACACAGTAAGCATTCAATGAATGAGCCTCTCAGCCTCTGGCCGCAGCCTGGACCCCACGGTGGGAAGAAGAGAAGCTTTGAAGTCGCAGAACTTCCCTGGAAAGAAGGGATCTATTTGCATGTATTTGCGCAATTTGCATATATTTGCATTGGTCGGCAGGGCTTTGCAAGCAGGGGATCCCGCTGGGATCGCCCCGTTTCTATTTTTATTTTTTTAATTTTTACTTTTTTTTTTGAGATGGAGTCTCGGAGTCTCGCGCTGTCGCCCAGGCTGGAGTGCAGTGACGCGATCTCTGCTCACTGCAACCTCTGCCTCCCGGGTTCAAGCGATTCTCCCGCCTCAGCCTCCCGAGTAGCTGGGATTACAGGCGCCTGCCACCACGCCCTTCTAATTTTTGTATTTGTAGTAGAGACGCCGTTTCATTATGTTGGCAGGACTGGTCTTGAACGGACCTCAAGAGATCCGTCCGCCTCGGCCTCCCAAAGTGTTGGGATTACAGGCGTGAGCCACCGCGCCGGGCCGATCCCCCCTTTTCCAACTGGGTTTCCAGGAGGATGGCTGACCAGGGTGGACGGAGGAAGAACTTGGTGCTCAACCCACTCTCCTGGCGAGGGCAGGAGGTACTCTCCAGCAGGCAACAGGTGGCCGTGTAGCCGCCACAATGTCACGGCCCCAGGGGGAAGGACAGGCCCACCCTGCACAGGGGACGCGGGAAGAAACGCTGCACTCGGAGCGGCCCAGAGGAGGCCACTAGGGGGCAGCAGAGGCTGGCGAGAAGGACTCGAACGCGCTTTGCTTGCTTGCTTTTTTTTGATACAGGGTCTTGCTGTGCTGCCCAGGCTGGAGTGCAGTGCAGTTCTCCACCACAGCCTTGACCTGCCACCCTCAAGCGATCCTGCCGCCTCAGCCTCCTGAGTAGCTGGGATTACAGGCACGCGCTACCACCCCTGGCTAATTTTTGTGTTTTCTTTCTTTCTTTTTTTTTTTTTTTTGAGACGGAGTTTCGCTCTTGTTACCCAGGCTGGAGTGCAATGGCGCGATCTCGGCTCACCGCAACCTCCGCCTCCTGGGTTCAGGCAATTCTCCTGCCTCAGCCTCCTGAGTAGCTGGGATTACAGGCACGTGCCACCATGCCCAGCTAATTTTTTTGTATTTTTAGTAGAGACGGGGTTTCACCATGTTGACCAGGATGGTCTTGATCTCTTGACCTCGTGATCCACCCGCCTCGGCCTCCCAAAGTGCTGGGATTACAGGCTTGAGCCACCGTGCCCGGCCCCTCTTTTTTTTTTTTTTTTTAAAAGATGGAGTTTCACCATGATGGCCAGGCTGGTCTTGAACTCCTGACCTCAGGTGATCCACCCACCTCGGCCTCCCAAAGTGCTGGGATTACAGGCGTGAGCCTCTGCACCTGGCCTAATTTTCGTATATTCATACAGACACGGTCTCACTGTGTTGCCCAGGGTAGTCTTGAACTCCGGAACTCAAAAGGTCCTCCCACTTCAGCCTCCCAAAGTGCTGGGATTACAGGCGTGAGCCACCATGCTGGGCTTCTAACGCTGTTTCATTCAACCCCCAGAAAATCAGATTCCGCCAGCTTATGGAGAAGGGAACCAAGTTTGAGACGCGTGGTCGCCCAGAAAGTTGGAGGCCGAGCTGAGACTTGAACCCAGAGACCAGAACCTCCAGAGGTCAAAGTCCCCCTGGGTTCTTCAGAGAAGGGCCCCGAGATGACAGCTCCTTGGTCCCCATGGTAGCATGACTCCCAGCAATGGACTTTCCTCCACCCGCAACCTTGGTTTCCACATCTATGTGATACGGACAAGCCAGACCCGACCTCCCTAGTGGTCATGGTCTCCGCTTATTCGGGTTCACAGCCTTGAAAGCCCCCACCACCTCCATGATCCATGTATGCCTGGCACAGGGCCAACAATCAATGAATGAATGGAGTGATGATAAATAAAGGAACAAATGAATGAGGCACTTATGTACCAGGCTTGTGTTACCAGGTCCCATTTATTTCTCTGAGGCAGGGACTATTTAATCCCTGTTTACAGATGGGGAAACTGAGGCCCAAGGAGGAGCAAAGACTTCCCCAAGTATATACCCACTCAAGACTTGGCCTCTGAATGCTCCTACCCAGCTTAGCCCAAGAGCGGGGTTCAGGGATGCCCACCCCTAAGGTTTTAGAAAAAGCGTAGGCCCACATGCCAGTTCGGGGGTGGTAAGGCCGGATAAGGTTTTTTTTTGTTGTTTTTTTTTTTGAGACGGAGTTTCGCTGTTGTTGCCCAGACTGGAGTGCAGTGGCACGATCTCGACTCACGGCATCCTCCGCCACCCGGCTTCAAACGATTAAGACCGGGTAAGTTTTCTTTATGGGTCCCTTGAAACCCTGAAAGTGAACCCCAGTCTTGCATGAAAGTGAGCTCCCCATAGCTCAAGCTATTCAAGCACACCGCGGCTTTGAGTGCTGAAGGAGGCCGTGAGGCCTTAGGCAAGTGACACACCCTCTCTGAGCCTCAATTTCCCCACCTGTCAATAGCAGAGAGTGATAGCCGTGATCACGGCGCATGGGGATAAGTGGGTGCTTGCGGATGGGGGGGCATTTGGGAGGCCTCCCCGCCACCACCCCCTACAGCTACCCAGGTAGCCTGTCCCAGCCTGTCTATCCCAGTCCAGGGCAGAAAGGGTGTGGGTCCTGCCCGCCCCTAAGTCTGGAGGCGGAGTCGCGGTGACCCGAGAGCCCAATAAATCTGCAACCCACAATCACGAGCTGCTCCCTTAAGCCCCAAGGCGACCTCCAGCCGTCGGCGCTGAGCACTGCGCCCAGGGAGAGGGACAGACAGCCGGCTGCATGGCACAACGGAACCCCGAGTGAGAGGCGAGGTGGCCGGACAGACAGACAGCAGGGGCAGACGCAGAGACAGAGAGCGGGGATAGGGGAGGACGACAAAGACAGCGACAGCCCAGAGAGTCCTAACCCAGGGAGCCCCAGCCACTCTCGCAGCGTCCCACCCCAGACGGAGGGGGTACAGGCGGCTCAGCATCCTCCCACCCGCCCGCCCGCCCCGTCGTCGTCGGCCCCTGCCGGCTTCTCCAGCTGGAGCACGCAGGGCGGCCGAAAACGCGCTGGGTCTCCACACCCGCCCTCATGGAGGCCGTGGAAACCGGGAAACGGCCCACCTTCGGAGCCTGGGACTACGGGGTCTTTGCCCTCATGCTCCTGGTGTCCACTGGCATCGGGCTGTGGGTCGGGCTGGCTCGGGGCGGGCAGCGCAGCGCTGAGGATTTCTTCACCGGGGGCCGGCGCCTGGCGGCCCTGCCCGTGGGCCTGTCGCTCTCCGCCAGCTTCATGTCGGCCGTACAGGTGCTGGGCGTGCCGTCCGAGGCCTACCGCTATGGCCTCAAGTTCCTCTGGATGTGCCTGGGTCAGCTTCTCAACTCGGTCCTCACCGCCCTGCTCTTCATGCCGGTCTTCTATCGCCTGGGCCTCACCAGCACCTACGAGGTACGGGACAGAGGCCCGGGGGCAGGACCCGCCCCACTGGCAGTGCTGGGACCCGGTGTGGGGGAGGCCCTGGGGCTTTGAGCCGCTGTACAGGAGGACGCGGATGGCACCTCGGTGCTTTAACGGAAGGGGCCCCTAGGCAGACACGTGGGGAGGGTTCTGGGAAGAGGCCGCAGGCGCCGGGCGAGGGGCAGGAAGGAGGAAGAGAGGGCCTGGCGTCCTGGTCCTTCGGTGGAAGTGCGCGGGCCGGACGCGGCTCGACCAGGTGTGTACTCAAGTGGGTACAGTCACACGCCTGCCCCCGACCTGCCCCGGCATGCAGACCCACGTGTGCGCGCTAGAAGGGACTGCTGACGGCTCTGGGGTTCGAAACCCAGCTTCACCGCTTTCTTCTATCTTGGGCAAGGGGCGTGCCTCCTGTTCGGGTTCCTCAGATGTCCAACCGGGCGAATCACAGCACCTCCCTCCAGGGCACAGGGTAAAGCGATTAAAATCGTGACTGGGCCGGGCGCTGTGGCTCACGCCTGTAATCTCAGCACTTCGGGAGGCCGAGGTGAACGGATCACTTCAGGTCAGGGGTTCGAGACCAGCCTGGCCAACGTGGTGAAACCCGGTCTCTACTAAAAATACAAAAATTAGCCGGGCGTGGTGGCGGGCACCTGTAATCCCAGCTACTTGGGAGGCAGAGGCAGGAGAATTGCTTGAACCTGGGAGGTTGCAGTGAGCCGAGATCGCGCCACTGCACTCCAGCCTGGGCGACAGCGTGAAACTCTTGTCTCAAAGGAAAAAAAAATCGTGACCGGTAAATCCTAGGCGGTCAACAACATTGGCCCCGGGCACTGTCTACACTGCGCTTGCGGGCTACGTCGGTGTCCGAGGAGCAGTGGCCGCTCCGGGAGCCCGCACCCGTCAGGCGCAAGTGGGAGGGCGGGTGCACACGCATGGACCGGTCCTCCAGGTCCACGGCGTAAGCACAGGCATGGGATGGCACATGTGCACAGGTGTGTCCTTGCGGCGGGGTCCCCAGTGCAAGAATCCCGCGAGTGCGGTTGGCCTCCGGAGGGAGGGGCCCACCTAAAGAGCGGGCGAGGGGCCCCAGAGGCCTCGGCCCCCGGGTAGGGCCTGTCTAGGTGACCTCGAGTCCCTCCTTGCAGTACCTGGAGCTGCGCTTCAGCCGCGCGGTGCGGCTCTGCGGGACTGTGCAGTATATTGTAGCCACGGTGAGCGGCCTCGGTCTCGCCCTCCGCGCGGGGGCCCAGGAGCGTCAGCCTCCACTAGCCCCGCCTCCACTGTTTAAGACCCCGCCCCAACCCGCGTGGCCCCGCCCACGCTCCCGTTCTGGCCCCGCCCCACCAGTCCCCTCCCATACCACACCCGGCCTGACCCCCCCTCCACTCTGCAAGACCCCGCCTATCTACCCCTCCCATATGCCGGGACCACCCTTCCTCCTCGCCGCCCCATCCCCAACTGTCCCAGCCGCCTCCGCGCTCACCTGTCCCACACTCTGTCTGCAGATGCTGTACACCGGCATCGTCATCTACGCACCGGCCCTCATCCTGAACCAAGGTGTGACTCTGGGAGATCAGGGGAGGGTGTCTGGGAGGAGAAAGGGAGGGAGAGGAGGACCCGAGACGCTGGGGACTAAGTTTGTGCCCCGCCCAGAGGCCTAACAGGGGGGACTCTTTTTGCATAGTGACCGGGCTGGACATCTGGGCGTCGCTCCTGTCCACCGGAATTATCTGCACTTTCTACACAGCTGTGGTGAGTGGCCCCAGGGAACCCACTCCGTATGAAGGATCAGGCCCACTGGGTCTCTTGTGGGGAGACTCTGGGCTTGCCCCTTTCTCCCGAGGAAGTCTCTGTCCCAGCTGTCCCACTGTCCTCATCTTTATAATGAAAAGTGATCTGAAAGATTTTATTGCTGAGAATCTAGAGGTATGGCAGCTTCAGGCGTGGCTGGATCCAGGTACTCCGACCTCATCCTCTGCGTCTCTCTCCCACCTCTCCAAGCCCCATCAGCTCCAGGCTTCCACCTCTTCTGGCTCCTCGACTAGCAGGAAATGAGCGCCTGCTTCAGCTTGGGGCTGGCTGAGTTCCCAGGGAGGGCTACCTTTGGCTGGCTCAGGTGTGACCTTGATAGCGATATTGTGATCAAAGTGATCATAATGGTAACGGTGGCCGGGCACGGTGGCTCACATCTGTAATCCCAGCATTTTGGGAAGCAGAGGCAGGCGGACCACTTGAGGTCAGGAGTTGGAGACCAGCATGGACAACATGGCGAAACCCCGTCTCTACAGAAAATACAAAAATTAGCCAGGTGCAGTGGCGCACGCCTGTGATCCCAGCTTCTCAGGAGGCTGAGGCAGGAAAATCACTTCAAGCTGGGAGGCGTGGGTTGCGGTGAGCAGAGATTGCGCCACTGCCCTCCAGCCAGGGCGACAGAGCGAGACTCCACCTCTAAATCAATCAGTCAATCAATCAATCATAATAGTAATGGCGGCAATCACCAACTGACGCTCGCACGTGTCACGTCATGTTCCGAATCTTTTTCACTTCTTAACTTGTTTAATTCTACTGGCCACAGTGACTCATAGCTGTCATCCCAGCACTTCGAGAGGCCAAAGTGGGAGGATCACTTGAGGCCAGGAGTTCGAGACCAGCCTGGGCAACATCATGAAACCCCCCATCTCTACAAAAAAAAATTTTTTTTTAATTAGTCGGACATGGTGGCACCCACTGTAGCTCAGCTGCTCCGGAGGCTGAGGCAGGAGGATCACTTGAGCCTAAGAGTTCCAGGCTGCAGTGAGCTGAGATCAATCCACTGCACTCCAGCATGGGCAATAGAGAGAGACCCTTTCTTTAAAAATAAAATAACATACTTAATTCTTGTAACAACACAGGGAGAAGGTATTATTATTAATCCCACTTGACAGATGAGGAAGCAGAGACATAGAAGGGCATCAGTCCCAGGCACCGCTGAAGGCCAGGTCGGGTTAGCCACAGCCAGGTCCCCCATTTAACAACCACTCCCCCTCTCTTTCCCATCCTGCAGGGCGGCATGAAGGCTGTGGTCTGGACTGATGTGTTCCAGGTGGTGGTGATGCTAAGTGGCTTCTGGGTTGTCCTGGCCCGCGGCCTCATGCTCCTGGGAGGGCCCCGCCACGTGCTCACCCTGGCACAGAACCACTCCCGGATCAACCTGATGGAGTGAGTGAAAATGCAGAGGATACTGCAGTCGGATGGGGCGGGGCCGGGGCACAGTTTCTCATGCCCATCATCCCAGCGCTTTGGGAGGCTGAGGCCGGCAGATCACTTGAGCTCAGGAGTTCGAGACCAGCCTGGGCAACAAGGTGAAACCCCATCTTTACAAAAATACAAAAATTAGCTGGGCGTTGTGGTGTGCGCCTGTGGTCCCAGCTACTTGGGAGGCTGAGGCTGGAGGATTGCTTGAGCCCGGGAGGCAGAGGCTGCAGTGAGCTGAGATCACACCACTGCACTATAGCCTGGATGACAGAGTGAGACCCTGTCCCAGCCACCCCCCCACACACACACAAAAATAAAAAGAGGATGGGGCTGGGCTCTGGGCCCTGTTTGTGCCTGGGAGAAGCCAGCCAATGCCTCCTGCTCCAGGAGGCCCCCACTGCTCCCCCGGCCCCGCCCCTCCTGGCTCCTGCTCTCTGCTCCTCCCCTCAGCCCAGATTGGCAGCTAAAGCCGTTCTGAACTCCTAGCTAGACAGAGAAAAAATGGTTTTTGAGGGCACACGTAGACGATTCAGTAAACCAACACATGAATGTTCAATCTGGCAAATGCCTGTGAATACTTCAAAACCCACTCCATTTATCTTTAATTTAATTCATTTATTATTATTATTTTTTTGAGATGAAGTCTCGCTCTGTCTCCCAGGCTGGAGTGCAATGCTGTGATTTTGGCTCACTGCAATCTCCACCTCCTGGGTTCAAGCAATTCTCCCGCCTCAGCCTCCTAAGTAGCAGGAATTACAGGCGCCCGCTGTCATGCCCGGCTTTTCTTTTTTTCTTTTTGAGACAGAGTTTTGCTCTTGTCACCCAGGCTGGAGTGCAATGGCACCATCTCGACTCACTGCAACCTCCGCCTCCCGGGTTCAAGCAATTCTCCTGCCTCAGCCTCCCATCTCCTGGGTTCAAGCAATTTTCCTGCCTCAGCCTCCCAAGTAGCTGGGACTACAGGCTCACACCACCATGCCCAGCTAATTTTTGTGTTTTTAGTAGAGACAGGGTTTCACCATGTTGACCAGAATGGTCTCGATCGCTTGACCTCGTGATCTGCCTGCCTCAGCCTCCCAAAGTGCTGGGATTACAGGCGTGAGCCACCGCACCCAGCCTAATTTTTCTATTTTTGTAGAGATGGGGTTTCACCATGTTGGCCAGGCTGGTCTTGAACTCCTGACCTCAGGTGATCCATCCACCTCAGCCTCTCAAAGTGCTGAGATAACAGGCATGAGCCACCGTGCCCGACCGACAAAATCCACTCCAAATGTCCCCAATAAGGTCCAGAAGCGCTGCCTGGGGCCCTTGGGAGGGTGGAGTCCGTGAGACATCTCCACGTGTCTGACTTGCCCTGTCCCCACCCACCCAGCTTTAACCCTGACCCGAGGAGCCGCTATACATTCTGGACTTTTGTGGTGGGCGGCACGTTGGTGTGGCTCTCCATGTACGGCGTGAACCAGGCGCAGGTGCAGCGCTACGTGGCTTGCCGCACAGAGAAGCAGGCCAAGCTGTGAGTGTTTCGGGGAGCAGGGTGGGGGTTTCTGGGACATGCTGCAGGGTGGGGGTTTCTGGGACATGCTGCCCCTCCACCAGCCTGAGGCTGTCCCCTAAGCCTGAGGCCGCCTCTCCCCGCAGGGCCCTGCTCATCAACCAGGTGGGCCTGTTCCTGATCGTGTCCAGTGCCGCCTGCTGTGGCATCGTCATGTTTGTGTTCTACTCCGACTGCGACCCGCTCCTTGTGGGGCGCATCTCCGCGCCAGACCAGGTGAGTCCCACCCAGGCTCCTGGCCGGCTCTGCACTCCCCAACCACCTTGGTGGGGTTGAGGTTGAAGAGCATTCCTAGCAGAGGGAGCAGCATGTGCAAGGCCGAGAGGCAGGAAAGAGCTCAGAGGAGGCCGGGCGCGGTGGCTTACACCTGTAATCCCAGCACTTTGGGAGGCTGAGGCGGGCAGATCACCTGAGATCAGGAGTTTGAGACCAGCCCAGCCAACATGGTGAAACCCCGTCTCTACTAAAAATACAAAAATTAGCCTGGTGTGGTGGTTCATGCCTGTAATCCCAGCACTTTGGAGGGCTGAGGCGGGTGGATCATGAGGTCAGGAGTTTGAGACCAATCTGGCCAACATAGTGAAGCCTGTATCTACTAAAGAAAAAAAATACAAAAAATTAGCTGGGTGTGGTGGCATGCGCCTGTAATCCCAGCTACTCAGGAGGCTGAGGCAAGAGAATCGCTTGAACCTGGGAGGCAGAGGTTGCAGTGAGCTGTGATCCTGCCACTGCACTCCAGCCTGGGCGACAGAGAGAGACTCCATCTCAAAAAAAAAAAAAAAAAAAAAAAAAAAAAAAAAAAAAATCAAAAGCTGAGATCCAGCAGGAACGAATCATGTTGGTAATAAGAAGAAGAATGGGCCGGGCGCGGTGGCTCAAGCCTGTAATCCCAGCACTTTGGGAGGCCGAGGCGGGTGGATCACGAGGTCAAGAGATCAAGACCATCCTGGTCAACATGGTGAAACCCCATCTCTACTAAAAATACAAAAAATTAGCTGGGCATGGTGGTGCGTGCCTGTAATCCCAGCTACTCAGGAGGCTGAGGCAGGAGAATTGCCTGAACCCAGGAGGCGGAGGTTGCAGTGAGCCGAGATCGCGCC